CAGTCCTGTCTTGTGTCTTGTGAGTAATCCTTGCATTTAAGGTTTACATATGCATGAAATCAGAAGACACTATAGGAATAAAATACTGTGTCAGAAGAATGTCTTAAATTGATATTTTTACTTTTTATTTATTATTATTTATTTGATAGAGAGTCTCATGTCTCAGCCTCCCCAGCAGGGCTGGAACAGCATGTGGTACCGGGGAATTGAACTCATGTCCTTGTGCTTGCCAGTCAGGCACTTAGAGCTATCTCCCCAGCCCTTCTATTAAAGTTTTATATTTTATTTTGAAGTGTTTTGGTTTCAAAGAAATCTTAAATCTCTTAAAATCTAAATGACGTAGCCAGGTTTCTTAGTATCTAAAACTCTTCATACAGATTGACAGTTAAATTTTAGCATCCTCAAACAGCAATAATTTGGCCTCAAGGTGCGGGGGGGGGGGGTGTTCTCTTATAATCCCTGTGATACTTTAAACAATTGGCTTTAAAAAACTCATGCAAAACTGAGGTGGGGAGATAGCTCAGTAGTTTAAGCACCTGCCTGGCAAGTGCAAAGACCTGGGTTTAGTCCCTGTACCAAATGCTGTGCTGGCCCTGGAACCCTGCAAACCCAGCGTGGTGGTGCACATTTTATAATCCCAGCACTGGAGAGGCCAAGAGAGGAGGAGCACTATGAGTCTCAGCTACATAGCAAGACCCTGAACCAAATGAGTACGTGCATCTGAATGAATGAATGAATGAATGAATGAATGAATGAATGAATGAAACTGAGATGACTTAATCAAAATAAATGCCCAGGTGAGGACAGAGTTAGACAAGGCAAAATGGTGAAGTGCATGTTATTCCTGTTTTTGCTTAGTATGTGGAACTTTCCTATTTGTAATCATGCAGATTGGCTATTTAAATTACATGCTTTTCTAAAGTGTACTACACTAGGGAGGTGGCTCAGTAGAATAAGTGCTTGCCTGGCAAGTGCAAGGGCCTGAGTTCAATCCCAGTTCCGCGCCCCCCCGCCCCCCAAAAGGACTACAGCCAGTGCTTGAAATTGAAGTTAGGTTTTTTGCTGTGTTACCAAAAGTATCTGCTATTAGAGGGGACAGAAGGCTAGTAAAGGCGCACCTCGCTGACCTGAGGGTAGATCCTACTGAGCAGGGCCAAAGACGCTGGACAGGTCCTTTCTCAGCACAGCCCCACGTGGATTTTGCTGTTCCTTGTTTTGACACTGGCCATGAGGTAATAGGTCTGCTTCATCTTAGACCAGTAGATCCTATCTAACACTTAACCTGAAAAGGCAAAAAGACCTCCCACCCCCCAAAAAAGAGCAGGCCTCTCTGTATCATCATTTTTGCTATTTTTTTTCTCATTAAGAAAATACATATAGAAAGTATATGCATTATCCAGTAACAGCAATGTCTGAAGTTTGTTTTTTGATTCTCAGACATTTCATAGTAATGCTTGTGGCTCCCAGGTTAGGACTCCTGCAGCACATTGTTACACTTAATATTTACTTGTTTCTGGTGCATCTTAAACCTCCACTTTTAAAGTTTTTTTTTTTTTTTTTTAAATATCTGAAGAAGGTCTGTTATCTTTTTTTTTATTAATTTTTATTTATTTGAGAGCGAGAGAGAGAGAGAGACAGAGAGTGTGTGTGGTGTGTGTGTGTGTGGCCAGCTCAGCCCACCAGGGGGCGGGGCTGGCTGGCATGTGGTGCTGGGGGATCGAACCGCGGTCCCTGATGCTTTGCTAAGCTTGTTCTAAGTAGGTGCTTTAGACCACTGAGCCATCTCTCCAGCCCCTCCACTTTTAAAGTTTTAACAGAAATGTAAATCTTTATTTGAATTTGTACTTATGCATCATACATAAGAAGCTGAGTTTTTGAAGACTCAGTGTCCCTGCCGGGCATATGCTGTAATCTCAACACTCAGGAGGTTAAGGCAGGAGAATTAGATTCAAGACTAGCCTAGGGAATTTAGCAAGACTATCTCTAAATGAAGTATTTTCCAAAGCCCTGGGTTCAGTCTTCACTACCACAAAGTAAACAAAAAGCAGTATGCCTTCTAACTGATGGTATTTTTAGGAAACAGCTTGGAATATTGTCAGCACTGGATTTAAAGGACTTAGTTATTTGTCTCAGCCTTGGTTCCTTATCTATAAATAACTTTAGATCTTATATCATTACAAAGAACAAATTGACTTCTCATGGCTTTTGAGGCTGGAAGTCCAAGATCAAAGTGCTGGCAGTTCCACTGTCTGCTAGGGAACTTACTAAGTTTCCACACAGCTGTCTTTTTTTTTTTTTTTTGGCGGAACCAGGGATTGAACTCAGGCCTTTGCGCTCGTCAGGGAAGCACTTGGTATTCCACTGAGCCATCTCCCCGGCCCCTTACACAGCTGTCTTAGTGCATTCCCTCACACTGGCAGAAGAAAGCGAGAGAACTCAGGGTGTTTCAGAACAACACTAAATCCCCATCCAGGAAGGCTTCTACCTTCATTAACCTACTTCACTTCCAATGGCCACCACTTAATACCTTTACTCACTGGGGTTAGGATCTTGGGGAGGAGGGAATACGGACATACAGGCAAACTTGTGATAAAGAACCTATTCTGATCTCAGGAGATGAAGTAATGAGGGTAAAATCCTCATTCTGGGAGAGGTTACTGCTTGTGTCTGTGAGACAGCTGATTGAGAGCTTGCCCTAGCTTCAACCTGTGAAAATGCTCATCTGTTCATCATGGAAAAGAAAGCTTTTAAACACAAAGACAAATGAAGCCAAGGAGATAGCTTAGTGACCTAACCACGTGCCTGGCAAGCACAAGGTCCCAAGTTTGATCCCTGGTACTGCAAAAGAAGAAGAAAAAGGCTTCATAGTATGAACTGGTCTCTTATATGTCCTCACATAGAGCAAGGTTTTAGTAGTTCTTAGGAATGCCCACCACGAAAAGATAGTTAAGGACTATAGTGTTTGAGCCCATAGGGATAACTGATAACTTTTTTTCCCCTGGTACTAGAGATTGAACTTAGGACCTGTGCTTGCCAGGCAAGCACTTAAGCCACTGAGCTATCTCCCCGGCTCAGTGATAAATTAAATGGAGACCATTACCAGTTAATGAGATGGATGGGGACTGTGAGCATCCTACTTTTAGTCTCGTCAGTCTCTGCTGACCCTCTTGCTCCAGCCTCCCAGAGTGCTAGACTTGGGCCTGTGCTTCCACACCTTGTGTTTTAGTTCTAAAGGCAGTCCTGTGCAGCACATGTATAGGTTTGGGCTTAGTGAGTTGCTAAGGTCACACAACAACTTTCTCTCCTTGGCTATGCCCTTCTGACAAAATTACAAGATCATGTCTCCCCCAGGGTTTTCTTCTCTTAAGTTCATTTCCCAGATTCATGTTCTGAGGCTTCTCCCACTCTATAAACTTGAGGTGGAAAGAAGTGTGTATGTGTGAAGGGGGGGAGACCCTGTATACTGTATTAGGTTCTAGGAAGGTATAATCCTTAGTAGTATAGTAGGCTTTTTATTCCTCTTTCCTCCTCATGTTTTTCTTGAAGGACTTGAACCTGATGTGCCAGGAACTGAACTCAGGACTTCACACTTGCCAGGCACTGGGCTATTAGCCTACACTCCATCCCCACCCACCCCAGCCCTTGAACCTGATTTTTAACAGTATTTGTCTTATTCATTGTCAGAACCCTTGACCATGCACTGCCTAGGTCATGAATATTAAGTTCACATCATATATTTAAAAATACATCTTCAGCTCAGTGGTACAGTGCCTGGCTGGCAAGCAAGAGGTCCTGAGTTCAATTTCCCATAACAAAATAAAAATAAAATCACATCTTTGCTCTGTAGAAACTTAAGTATTGACTGAGTTTATAGGACCTGAAAGGAAAGGACAGACCCTTTTGTTTCACAGTCACATTTTTAAAAGTCTGAGTGAACTCAGATGAAATTTTGTGAACAAGTCACTTGGTACCACTACCTCAGGGCTTTTTTTTTACATTGAAGCCAAAACCAGGGCCAGCCAGATCCCTGGTGTGCCTTGCTGGCCCTGCCTCCAGTGTGCATTGAGATGGTGATTGAGACTGGGCGCAGTGGTGTGCACTTCGGAGGCTGAAAACAGGATCACTGTGAGTCGGATCTGTGTAGTTAGACCCTGTACTAAATACATTTTTTTTTTTAAAGCCAAAACCATTTCCCCACTGTTTTGTCTCTTTTCAGTTCCATAGAGCGCCCTTTATTGATTTATGGAGCAGGTATATTACATTCTTTGTAAGTTTTAGGCTTTGGAGGGTAAAGATTTATTAAATATGTTAATATAATTCAATATAAACCACCCTGGAAACAATGCTTTGGAAAGGTACTGCGAGCAAATTATGTACCTAAGGTACCAGGATTGGGTTCATGTGTTTAGAGAATATGAAGGCAGTATTTAATGTATATGGAAATGAAAACTGAGTAACTTGTAATTGAATACTTCTCTCACCCAGTAAAGTTTATAATGTAAAAAGAACAGCAGTATATTACATTCTTTTCCGGTAAGATTATGGAGATAAAGGAAAAAGAGGCAGTAAGTCAGAAAAGTCAAACTTTTGCACTTTCTAAAAAGCCTACAATGACAAGCTCTTATGGAAAAATTTGTCATCTGTCACTGATTTAGCTTCTGTGTGCTAATATGTGTTTCTTTTTTGTTTACATTTTATGTGTCAAGGAGAGGTTTAAGAAGTGCCCCCCCCCTTTTTTTTTTTTGCAGAACAGGGGATTGAACTCATTAGAAAGGATTTAACATTCCTCTGTCAACTTTTATGCAGTTATTGCTGCCCTATCTCAGGTTCTGCCAAAATGGTGGGGTTTTTTTTGTTTTGTTTTGTTTGTTTCTAAAGGAGCATCCACACAATAAACAAAGAGGGAAAAGAGAAGTGATCGATGCCCCTTTTTGAGAGGGAATGTAAGGATTTGGGATGGTGCCATCATCTGCTTACCTGCCAATACCATTATTCCACAGTGCTGGTCCTAAAGGTGACAACATCTATGAGTGGAGATCTACCATTCTAGGACCCCCAGGATCTGTGTATGAAGGAGGTGTATTCTTTTTGGATATCACTTTTACTCCAGAATATCCCTTCAAACCTCCAAAGGTAAGACTTCCCCGCGATGTAGTTTACACCACAAAACTAGATTTTATTTTGTCTTGAGGAGTCTATGTGAGCACACCAAAACACTTTGTGCCTCATTTGGCAGAGACCATATCTAAGTGTTTTAAATTACACTATTTTTATTTGCTTTGTTTTTATCAGACAGGGTCCTGCTATGTTAGGCTGGCCTTGAATTCTCAAAGTAATCCTGAGTGCTGGGATTATGGGTGTGTGCCACCACACCAGGCAAATTGTGCTATTTATAGTGATGTTAGCTACCCTGAATTAATCCGCTAGTTTTCTTCCTTACAGAAAAAGGTGTATCAAATTAAAAAGTTTTAGTACCCATGCGCTTAAAACTAGAAAATCAGAATCACTTTTGTTCACATCATCCCTCAGCTCTGACTAGAGTCAGTGGGGATCGCCCAAGTCACTCATTCTTGATCCCTCAACAATTTCATCCAGTCAGAAGTAGGACCAAGAATTGAAAGTCATTAAAATTTTTTTTACATTGGTATCTCAGAGTAACTGATGTTCATGCAGTTGTGTTAATGTATCTTCAAAGTTTGTACAGCTTTTAGGAGGGTGTAGCCATTATTTGGCTAGTCTTTAATTATTTGGCTAGTCTGACGTATGGCTCTCAATGTTTATGATTCTGAAGCGTGCTTCCGAGCCATGTAGTACTACCAGCTAACACAAGAGGTCAGCAAACAATTAGCGTAAGAATTAAGGAAGTATTGGACTTTGCTTTTTAAATGAAATTGACAATACCAGAGATTGTATGAAGGAATACCATCTTGCCTCAGATTTACTAAGCAGTATTAACCTATCATATCAGCTTTAAGTTACTATATGTTACTCACCTTTTAACAACCAAAACAGCTAAGAGTTTAAGATCATTCAGTTAAATATTTGAAGTTTCCTGTTTGAACATTATTTGACACTGTCTTATTTTTTTAGGTTACATTTCGGACAAGAATCTATCACTGTAATATTAACAGTCAAGGAGTTATTTGCTTGGATATATTGAAGGATAATTGGAGCCCAGCACTAACTATTTCTAAAGTCCTCCTTTCTATCTGCTCACTTCTTACAGACTGTAATCCTGGTAAGGTTATTAGTCATTTAAAAAAAAAAAAAATTCTTCCTCACCTGAAAAATACTTGCTATTTAAACTAAGATTCTTTCTAAATATTTTTTCTAGGAGCTTTGAAAGGAAAATTTTAATCAAGACAAGTTTTAGGAACTTTATCACTAATTAATACTTTCTAAGAAAGGGGTGTTTTAAGACTTACAGTTCTCTTAAACCACCTACTGAAATGTAGGGTTTCCTGAGGCCTGGCCCAAAGCTCAAAACTGACGTAGCCTTCAAATGTGAAAATGCTCCATGGTCCTTTTTTTTTTTTTTTTGCTAGATGCTGAATGAGTTCTTGAGTTGTGATTTTTGTTGGACTTTCATGTATAAAATGCTTTTTTTTGGGTTAAAGCAAATACAAAGATTCTGTGTTGAGAGAGGAGATCCAGGTCTTGACCTGTCTCCCTGGTTCTCCTAGGCACACTGGGAAGGCTGCACAGTGCCATGGCGAGTGCTCCTGAGCTGAGGATCATGAGCACAGCTGTGTGTTCGTGGTAGACTGGAGTCTTAAACAGTCCAGATTCTATTGCATTTCATGGAACACAAACAGCAGAGAAACTCCATTGAGTGTTACTTGTTGGGAGAGAAATGGAATAAGGCAATAAAGCTAGAGCATTCTATTTCTGGAAGATCTCCCTCCCCCACCTCATTCTCTTGTTAAAATAGAAGGAAAAACATAAGCATGGGGAAGTAGTATTTTTTAACAGGTTAGATCACAAATACTCTGTTGTAATTGGCTATAAAATGTTATTTTCCTCTCTCCAAAGTAATCTAGTTTTTCTTTCCCCCCCAGCCGACCCTTTGGTGGGAAGTATTGCCACTCAGTATATGACCAACAGAGCAGAACATGACAGAATGGCCAGACAGTGGACCAAGAGATACGCTACATAAATTGAATTGAGTTTTCACAATTCTTACATTATTTGTCTGTCACAGAAGAGAGCTGCTTATGATTTTGAAGGGGCAGGGGAGGGTGGGAGTTGGTAAAGAGTAGGGTATTTCTA